TTTGTGTCACCTCCACTCCCAAATTCCTATGTTGAAACCCTAACCCCCAATGTGATGGTATTTGGAGATAGAGCCTTGGGGAGGTAATTAGGCTATGGCGGTAGAGCCCTCATGAATGGGATTAGTGCCCTTATAACCTGGAGAGCTCTCTTGCCTTCTTTCGCCAGGGAGAATAAAGGAAGCCAGCAGCCCGCAGAACCAGCAGTTCTGCAACCTCACCAGAACCCAATCATGCTGACACCCTGATCTCAGACTTCCTGCCTCTAGAACTGTGAAAAAAAAAAGTATGTTGTTGGTAAGCCACTCAGTCTCTGGTACTTTGGAATAGGAGCCCAAACTGACTAAGACACTGTCTATCTATCTATCAAAAATAAAATGGTTGTCATAAGTATACTGTTAACATGTTTATTTGAACTGAAATATGAAGTCAATTATTTTTTCTAACAGCTGATCATTAAATATCATTTGGACCATAAAACTCAAAAGTAATTTAAATGCTTTGATTTGACTGATCAACTTGACAATGTGAAATGGCTTTGCCAATTATAGGATGAATATTTTCCAGAAGTTAAATGAGTTAGATCTTCAGTTATAAAGTTGTTCTAAAATACATTTAAGATATATAAGATAAAAGCATTTTGTCAAAAATATTGCATTGTACTGAAATTAACATTAGCACTGTTGTGATTACTCAACTCTGAGTATACTTAGATAAACACAATGCCTCAGAGAAAAAGAGTAACGAGTATAATTAATATTCATTTGATACAGGTTTAAACCCACTTTGGTCTAATTTCTAGAAACTGAAGATTAAATTATAAATTATTTTGCAAGTAATTTTGTTTCCAAGTCTCAGCTTTCAGCAAAACTGAAGAAGAACCTCACCTGGTTGTCGGTTAATCACAAAATTTAATTTGGGGCATATAATTCAAAAGGAGGTTTAAAAATAAAGTGTCCCATCTATTCTTAACTCACTGAGCATTTTGTCATAACAGGATGTTGAATTCTGTCAATTATTTACTCTTCATCTGTGGATATGATCATATGGTTTAGCCTATTTAATATGTTAATATTGACAAATATGTTGATCAATTATTTTTTTAATTGAGTAAACTTACTATTCAAGTCTGGTTCCATCCCCATCCACTCACTTCTGTGAATGAAAATTCTCAGTGATACATCTATAAAATTTTTTAAAACGACAATATAATTCATGCTGAAACCTGTTTTTCTATTTTTTTTTTAATTTTTTATTGGATTTTAGGTTTTGGGGTACATGAGCAGAGCATGCAAGACAGTTGCATAGGTACACACATGGCAGTGTGCTTTGCTTTCCTTCTCCCCTTCACCCACATTTGGCATTTCTCCCTGTTTTTCTATTAATAAGTAGCATTCATCTTAAGATATCTGAAAAGAATTGGAAAAAGCCACACCCACCGAATTTGTACTTTATTTTTATATTTAAAAATTAACAAATTTTATAATAATATCTTATTTGTTATCTATGGCTAATAATTAAAATGTTAACTCAATCCTGATGATATTTGATACTGAAGTCTATAGTAACTATGTTACTATATGTGTAAAAGTGTATGTGTGTGTGTGTATATATATATATATACATTTAGCCTTTATCCTCATATATTTTCATATATATTTATTCAATATATTTATACTCATATATTAATGTACATTCATTATAGAGAAATAGGAAGATAAATCAATAAGGAACTTTCAAGTATAAACTATATTATAGTGAAGAAAATTCTTTGAAGGAAGTAAAACAGAACTGCAGATACAAGAAGAAAAAAATACGTAAAATTTCCAGCTGCTAACGAAAGGACATGTTTGTGTGTTTTGAAAATGTTGTAAGATGTTGAAAGTATTGAACTGCCCAGATATTTTTATTGTTCTGGATACATTTAAAAGAAAGATATCATAGTTTATCTTAAAATGTCAATATAGTATATGTTAAGTATCCATTATTTATAGCCATTTAGACATAAGACAAAAATTTTAGACAACCGCTTTAAAATGTGCCAGAAAGAGCATAATTTTTTTTAAAAAATTTCTTTACAGGTAATAAGCAAAAATGTCTGAAGACCTCTGATTTCAAATACCTTATGACAAGATATCCCCTTTGTTAGTGAAAAATTCAACACAATATTTTTCTAAGTAAGCAGCTAGAGTTATCCTGGCCAAAAACGGTCTGGCTCAGCATTCAAGGTCTCTTCCAGGAGATCATAGGGAGCATCAGACTTACCCCATGTACCAACTAACTGTGATAATGGTCATGTCAGCTGGGGTCTCCCAATTTCTTTCACCGTACATGATTAGGTCCCTATTTACCTGCCCCATCTCTTCTGTTGCTCCAAGTCACACTCCTCTGTGTCCCAACTTCATAGAAACATTCATGGGTCTCTGACACACCAGCCCCATCATGCTTCATGCCCCATGGCTCCCTCTACCTTTCCTGTCTTCTGCTACTACCCCTTGTCCTCCAATATTCAACTCAGGTACCACTTCCAAAAGCAAGCCTTCTATGATCCTTCCACAGTTCCCAGGTTGGAGTAGGGGTCACATTTTAGGTCCCACAGTCCCCTGGGTTCTCTCCATCACAGCACACTAAACTTATGGGACTGCAACTCTAAAAATATCAGGGAAAGCAGCTCACCTGGGGTGTCTGCTAGGAATGCTCATTCCTGGCCTCACTGCAGGGAAGTCTGTTCCAGTGTTTGAGCAGTGGAGCTCAGGAAGCTGCACATTTAAGACACTCCCCAGGTAATCTGTTGCAAGTGTTACGATTAACATATCTTGAGAAATTCTGTTGTCATGCCATTGCTCACTTACTTGACTGAGCCACACTAGCCTCTGAACTTTTTGAAGGCAGAGAGTGTTTTATTCACCACCATCTCTGCCTATAGTGCCTAGAACACTGCCTGGCATGTAGAAGGCACTCCACAAATGCTTGTTGAATGCAGGAACAGGTGAATTAATTAATTAGCCAATATTCCCATTTTCACAATCTTGTGTATCGAGCCATGCATTAACTCGTGTCCACTAAGCCATAACGTTCCTTGGTTGGGGTTGATCTTTAGGTCCATTCAGTGAGGCTCCTTAGGTTTTCTCATATTAATCAGAAGTTTCATGTATCTCTGATAATATAACATATAAATAAATCTAACTTCATCAGCAATTTTTTTTAGTTGGCACACACTTTGAGTCCAGAGTCCTTGGTGTGCCATAAAGGGTTTAAAGTTCTTGCCCTAAACAGCCTGCTGCAGCCTACAAACTTCACTTATCTGCCATAGTTTATGTGACCACTCCCTCAGCCAAGGAGTAAGAGCAATGCAACCTTTTTTACTTTATTTTGGCAGGGGGAGGCACAGTCTATAATCCCAATTGTACAATAAACTGACCGACATTTGTATGGAATCGAAAGAATATGTAACGAGTCTATGTCGGGTGTCATGTACTAAGCCTTAGCATCCACGGGGGCCATTCTGAAATAACTTCCCTCCCCTCCTCAGCTCATTCCTCCCCCATCTCTCCCTGGCTACGGCATCCCAATTGTCATCAATTGTTCCACAGTGTCACCCTACTGATAGACAGGAAACCTTTCTGCTGGCATTTTTTCTCTCTCTCTCCTTCCACATTCCCAAGGCCCTGTGGTCTGTGCTGTGCTTGGTCCCATGCCCTCCCCTACATTGCCCCATTTCTTGTCCTGCTCTCTTACCCCAGGCTTTCTCTTAGCATCATCTCATCCCACAGGCCTTTGGAGAGTGGTGCAGGGAAGAGATGGCTCTGGACCCTGGGAGTGGATAGAGGGAGTGAGAAGGCACCACTGAGACCTGGCCTCTGGATGATTCCCTGAGAGATTCTCAAACCTCGTAGATTGTCCATATTAACACGCTTACCCTCTGGGGTGTCACTCTAGTTAGGAGGCCATGAGGAAAACAGAAGGGGCAGAAGGAACAAAAAGAGGGAGCGGGTCCAGGAGATTCTGCAAAGTGAAATTAAACCCACCCGAGAATGAAGGGAAAGAGAGAGGCGTGTTGAAATGGTACTGCCAGTGACAAGTATTCCAAGAGATAAAGAATTCACTTTTGGACATTAGGTCAAGATAAACTGAGTCATCCTCATTAAATACTTTCCAGAGTCAAATTCATATATACTGGGGAATCATCAGCCCAAGATTCAGAGTTGAAACCAAGAGAATTGAAGGGAAATGATGTAGATGTCAAAAGAAAGGCTGGTTTTACCCAGTTGGTAGCTAGGAAGAAAATACAATGGGGTCAAAAAAAGAGAGAGAAAATAGAGAAGGAGGGAGAGAGGAGAATGAAGTAGGAGTAAGAGGAAGAGAGGGCCGGGCAGAGAGTAAGTAGGAGAATGTCCGTTGAAGGAGAAAGAATCCCAGCACTTTGGGAGACCAAGGCAGGCAGATCACTTGAGGTCAGGAGTTTGAGACCAGCCTGGCCAACATGGTGAAACCCCTTCTCTACTAAAAATGCAAAAAATTAGCCGGGTGTGGTGGCGCACACCTGTAGTCCCAGCTACTCAGGATGCTGAGGAAGGAGAATTGCTTGAACCTCAGGGGTGGAGGCTGCAGTCAGCTGAGATCATGCCTCTGCACTCCAGCCTTGGGGACAGAGTGAGACTCCATCTCAAAAATAAAATAAATAAAAAGGAAAAGAGGAGAAGAAATACTGTCAGTGACAGAAAAATGCAAACACAAGACAGACAGGAAAGGCTTTTTGCAAAAAGAACATTCTAAACAAATGGTAAATTTTGATTTGTCTTACGTGACTGAATCCCTAATGAGACATCTGCGCTGGAATTGCATGCAGTACCCTTTAATGAACCCATAGCATCCACAGTACTGCTGTTAGTTTTGTAGATGCATCTAAGCAGCACACACGTTGCTTTCCAAGAAACACCACCTGAACATTCTTTACAAACGAGGACGAAGAAATAAAGGAAACGTCGTCTCCATACTGTGCACCACCTATTAATATTTTATTGCACTGCTGTGGTCTCTGGGGGAGCAAAAACATTTGGGTGTGCTGTGGGTTAGGTAAACACCCACTAAATATTGATGCATGCATAATTAGAATGACTAAAATAATTCTGGCATAAAATTACCCTAGCAGTCAGGGGAGAGAGAAAATGAAGTAATTTGATCGTGAAAATTAATACAAGTCGACTCTCAATTTTCACTGCAGCTAATTGAAAACCACTTATTATTCAAACCTCATTTTCCCTCCTGGTTTGTACCTTTTGTGCCTTGCCCTAAGAGAAAAGAAGGTGAGAGGAGGGTCCCAGGGGCAAAGCTGTCATATGGAGATAGTGAATCAAGAGACTGATGCTTATTTTTCTAAGGCGGTGGCTCCTCAACTTTTAGTCACATTGATGTCACCACCTATGACACACATCCATGGACATGTCCAAGGGGACAGGCCGTTCTGTCCTCTCCCATTCAAACAGCACTGAAATTACAATGAGATTGACATTATTGTAGGTGTGATCTTTTTTATGATAGCCTTCTCAATACCTAATTCACATGTCACGCAATTTGCCAATTTAAAGTCTACAAATTGGGCCAGGTGCCTGGGCCTCACGCCTGTAATCCCAGCGCTTTGGGAGGCAGAGTTGAGCAGATCAAGACCACGATCAAGAGGTCAGGAGATCAAGACCAGCCTGGCCAACGTGGTGAAACCTTGCTCTACTAAAAATACAAAAAATAGCCAGGTGTGGTGGTAGGTGGCTGTAATCCCAGCTACTTGGGAGGCTGAGGCAGGAGAATGGCTTGAGCCTGGGAGGCAGAGCTTGCAGTGAGCTGAGATCAAACCACTGCACTCCAACCGGGGTGACAGAGCAAAACTCCATCTCAAAAAAAAAAAAAAAAGGTGTACAAATCAGGGCTTTTTACTATTCAGACTTGTGCAACCATCATTACATTTCACCTTAAAAAGTAGCTCATTAGCAGTCACTCCCCATTTCACCCCAAACCCCCTAGTTTTCAGCAACCACCAATCAGTTTTCTGTCTCTGTGGGTTTGCTTATTCTAGACATTGCCTACAAGTAAAATCATACAATATGTGGTCTTCTGTGACTTGCCTCTGCAGCTGGCTAAGGAAAACATGAGTGGAATGTTTTTCATGGTTCATCTATGTTGTAGCATGCATCAGGGTTTCATTGCTCTTTCTGACTGAATCATATTCTGTTGCATGGGTATATCACATTTTATTTATCCATTCAACAGTTGATAGATATTTGGGCTGTTTCCACTTTGGCCACCATTATGAATAATGTTGCTGTGAACATTCCTGTGCAGGTTCTGTGCATGTGCTCTTGAATGTGAGCTCTAACAAGAGCAGCTAACACTGCCCAGTGAGTGTCTGTGGGGAATACAGGCACCATCTCATTTCATCAGCTCAGGACGCCAACGTGCAGATCCAGGATCCAAATCTCCATCACTCTGCCTCTAAAGTCCATGTTTCTAGTCTCCTTGCTTTGCTTCCTCCTAAATCTGAAGATTAGAAAAGGCAAGTCATTCATTACTTCAAGAGAATTACTATCCTATAAGTAAGACATTAGTTATGACTCTTAGCTGGTCACAACCATCCTGCTTGAAAACCACCTCCCTTGAGCACATGGCTCCCTGGAGAAATTATTTTGAGGGATAAAAGGAGGCCCTTCACTGTCTGTCAGGACAGCATTGTCAGATGCTCATGCTTTAAAAGAGCTCTAGAGGCAGTCAAGAGGTTTATTCTGAAAAACAGGATGCTATGGTCTGAACGTTTGTGTCAACCCAAATTCCTATGTTGAAATCCTTCCCCTCAAGGTGATGGTATTAGGAAGTGGGGCCTTTGGGAGGTGAATAAGTCAGAAGGGTCCAGTCCATTTCAATGGGATTTGTGTCTGATACAGTTAAGCTTTGTATTCCTACCCGAATCTCATCTTGAATGATAATCCCCAGGTGCTGAGGGAGATACCTGCTGAGAGGTGATTTGATCAAAAGGGTGGTTTCCTCCATGCTGTTTTTGTGATAGTGAATGAATTCACGTGAGATCTGAGGGTTTTATGAGGCAGTTTTCACTGCTCTTGCACATTATCTCTCTCCTGCCACCACGTAAGTGTGACTGCTTTCCCTTCTGCCATGATTGTAAGTTTCCTGAAGCCTCCCCACACATGTGGAATTGTGAGTCAATTAGACATTTTTTTATAAATTACCCAGCCTGGGGTAGTTCTTTCTAGCCTTGTGAAAATGGACTAATAACAGTGTCTTTGGCAGAAAATGCCAGAAAGCTGCCTTGCTTTCTTTCTGCCATATGAGAACACAGAAAGAAGATGACAGAGAGCCCTACTCAGAACATTACCATGCTGGCACCCTGATCTCGAACTCTATCCTCCAGAACTGTGAGAAGTAAATGTTCCTTATTTATGTTTAGTGTTGCAGTCTATGGTAATTTGTTCTTGTAGCCTGAACTAAGACAGACAGTATGCCAGGGAAAGGTGGAATATGGGCATCTGGCTCAAGCCTCCTCCTTCCTCTGGAGGAAGGTCCAGTGGACCATCTGCACGCATGAGCAAGGCCTTTCCCTTCAGATTAATTACTCGGAATCATATACAAAGTAGTATTTATGTTTTCCTCCCAACACAGACACAGCCGGCACCTTTTCATTCTTCAAACACAGGCCACACAGCCTTGGCTCTACGTCTTGGCCTCCTTATTTTTCACACCAAAATTTCCCTTGTTTCTCTTCTCTTTGGACAAACTTCTGCTTATCATTTAGGATTCACGTCACATGTCTCTTTCTCAATTGGCATGTCAGGAGCTGTGTCCAGAGAAACCATAGGGATGGGAGAGACACTTGTATTAGTCAGGGCTCCCTAGAAGGACAGAACTAACAGCATAGCTATATACATATATAAAGGGGAGTTTATTAAGTATTAACTTACGTGATCACAAGGTCCCACCATAGGCTGTCTGCAAGCTTGAGGATCAAGGAGAGACAGTTTGAGTCTCAAAACTGAAGAACATGGAGTCCGACGTTTGAGGGCAGGAAACATCCAGCACAGGAGAAAGATGTAGGCTGGGAGCCTAGGCCAGTTTCAGCTTTTCACATTTTTCTGCCTGCTTATATTCACTGGCAGCTAATGAGAATGTGTCCACCAGATTAAGGGTGGGTCTGCCTTTCCCAGCCCACTGACTTAAATGTTATTCTTCTTTGGCAAGACCCTCACAGACATACCCAGGATCGATACTTTGCATTAACCATCACAACCCTGAATAGCAGCTCAATGCAGAATGCCCTGGCATGGCCCAGCAATTTAGGATTCTGGTGGGTAGAAGATTCCACGGGTGCCCCACTGCCTTTCCCCTACACTTACCTCATCCGTACATGCCTGCTGGACTTCCAAATGTTAGAACCTGCATGGTTTTATGTTGCCTTGTTATGGAGAAACTGGAAGTGATGGGGAAGAAATACACCTGACACATGCTTTCAACCAATTACCAAATGAGTGTTAGTGAATAAATACTGAACGACCTCAGCCAACAGGTAGAATAACACAGAGAAAGGTGTTTACTGCATTTCGGAGTTTCTCCAGAAGGATTAAGTTTATGGAGGAATTAAGCCCCCAGCAGGAATGAGCTCGGTTCTTCTCAGTGATAAGTGGCATCCTTCTCTTCCCTGTCTCAGGTCTCCATTCTCCTACTGGCAGTTTCTGGGATCACCTCCACAACAAACTACTTGTACTTGAATCATCATCTCAAGGTCTGTTTCTGGGAAAACGGAAACTAAGACATGGCGGCTATCTCTCTTTGCAGAGACTATTCTGAGACACGCCACTCCCTCCTAAGCGGAGGTCTTAGATACAAGAAGGAAGTATTAACAGGTTTGGGCATCATTTTCTGAGAGGGTTCAAAAGAAGCAGGTTGGGAGCAGATGTCTTTGAAGGATCCAGTCATTATGGAATAAATATCTTTTTTATTCAGGTTGCTGCACAGCAACAGGGTGTAGGTGATAGAGTTGATGATACACATAACCACTGCAGTTGTCTTTGCTAGGGCTGTCTTAACTCTTACTGCATTGTCCCAGCACTTAACATGATGCTTGATATACAGCATGTGCCCAATACATGCTATCATTTAATAAAGTTATTCTTTGTAGACCAGTGAGAAGAATACATTTTCTGAGTCTTCTGCCTTTGAATACATCATTCTTTTCTGGCACACGTTGTTCTACTATATTGTATTAGGATAAAGCCTAAAATGCTATTTAAAAACCCTCAAAACATAGTGGCTTAATACAGAAACCAACACATGTAATAAAATTGTAAAGAACTAAACACACATACAAGTGAGTTCAAGTAAAACAGGAAATCAATAAGATCTATTGACTGTATCAATGTTAATATCTTGGTTGTGATATTATACTATAGTTTTGCCAAATGTTATTATTGGGGGGAGCTGAGCAAGCAGCATGCAGGAGCGCTCTATTATTTCTTACAATGGCATATAAATCTACAATGATCTCAATAAAATATTTTATTAAAAATATATAGTATCATAAATAGCAGTATAGGTAATGGCTTCCTTCTTTTTTTCCAGAAAAACAGAAAAACCATTGACCCAAATAGTATGCTTGGTAATTCTTAATAAATGCATCTAAAAGGCTATTAAGCTGCTTAATTGCCAAATAAATGGAAACTAAACATTATGTTACTTGGAGAGTTCTTTAATATGTAATGGGAAAACCATTTTTCTACTCCAGAAGATCATTGAAAGACCCAAGGTTCTTCTATCTTGTTGCTCCAATATCTCCTAGGGGTACTGGCTTCACCTACAGAGCCAAAGCTGAGTCAAAGCTCAGTGTCAGTCTGTAGGAGGGGGAAAAAGAGGGAAATGAATTTTTTAAGCATGTGATGCATAAATTGCACACATCACTTCCATTCACTTTATATTGGCAAAAACTTAGCCTCATGGGCACATCTAGCTGTAAGGGGAGCTGGTAAGTGGAGCTTTTATTCTGGATGATCATGTGCAAGTGAAACACTATTATTAAGGAAGAAGGGAAAGACATTTTGAGCAGCAACTGGCAATCTTCCTCAAAACACAAACTGATTTTGTTAATTGGCATGGTGTGATGTTCTTCTGTGTGTGCCAAAAGTCCCTTCTTTGGGGAAAACCACATCTCACATGTTCTATAATAATCTCTCTCTATCCACAGCCAAGAGATAAGGAGACAGAACTCTGATAATGTCTGAGCCTCAACAGCTAGATGCACCTTTTGAGCTTCCAGTTACAGGAGCCAAGCCTCCCTACTTTTCATCTGTATTGGGATGGATTTCTATGATTTGGAACCCAAAGAGACATGATGAACCTAGTTGGTATCCAGAATCCTCAATTCCTGAAAACACGGAGACATCACAGTGGCAAACATAAGCTTTACTATCCCAAGGGGTCCTTTGTGTCCTTCTAGGAGAGCCTCAAATGCTTGATCACTGAACACAGAGCCCTTGGCCAGGACACTCACAATAACATGTAGGTTTAACCAGCACCATTTAAATGCTTAATCAGTACTGAAAGAGGCATGAGTAATAATAATGAGTTATTTCAAAAGTTTTTAATGGGAAAAAAAGAAAAACCATTGACCCAAATAGTATGCTTGATAATTCTTAATAAGTGCTATAAATGCTTCTAAAAGAATATTAAGTTGCTTAATTGCTGAATAAATGAAAAATAAACATTATGTTACTTGGAGAGTTACTTAATATGAGACAGGAAAAATCATTTTCTGAAATGTACTGCATGTGATAAATGCTTATTTTCTTTTCTCAAATCAATTATTGAAACCATTAACCACCATTTAAATATAGCTCAATCTTTTTTCTGTTTATTCCCCTTTTTATTTTTATTTTTTCATTAGTGAAAGAAAATAGATTTACCTAGGAAATAGAGCTGCATAGTGAAAGAGATGGAATGTGGAGGATTTCAGAGTCAGAAGCCTTGACTTTTAACCCCAGCTCTGTCATTTCCTAGTTCTGTGACCTTGACCAAGTAACTTAAACTCACCTGCTTTCCAGGAGCAGTGTGGAACTATTACAAAGACTCTCTTACCTGCCTCAGAGAGTTGTAGTGCTACTAATACTAAGTCATAGCACTTTTAGGTCAGTGCTTATCGGCCTTGACTATACATGGGAATTACCTAGGGATTTTGCTAAAATGCAGATTTGTATTTATTAAGCCTAGATTGGGACCCAAGATCCAACATTTCTAATAAGCTCCCAGGTGAAGTTGATGCTACTGATCCGTACTTTCGGATAGAAAGGTTCTAGTATGCCTGCCAAAGTCACAATAATTTCCATCATTTGGAAACGATCACACTTTATAGCAGTTCTTGTGCCCTTTTGCCAGAGCTGACAATGGTAGAGGCTATTTCTGATCCGAGCTGGGCCAGAAGAAGGTCTCGTCTGCAAGCCTGGGACTTTGAACAGGGACAACCAGAAACGTGACATCTATTCACTTGCTCATTCCTTCGCCAATAAAAAGAATTCTGTCTCTATGCCAGACACTGTAATAGGCAGTGCAGATACACCAGTCAATCAAGCAGGTCTCTGTACTCAGGGAACTTTTCTTATAGTAATATGCAAGATAATTTCAGATAAGCTAAATGCCATGAAGAGGTTGAAGAATTTCAAGAGGATGCAGGGGACTTTCAGTGAAAGTGTTGGGGAAAGCCAAGCTCTTACTTTCCCTTCTGTAGTGACCTTGGCAGCCAAGCGCTAAACACTGTGGCATAATAAATGGGGGAAGCCTCGGTCCCTAAGTGGTTACGTGGAGCACAGCACTCTTCCCCTTCCCTGCAGCCTGAATTGGGTTGTGATCAGAGTGAGAAATAAAATACTGTACCCCTGTAAGGAACTGTGACAGCAAATTGATCTTTCTGAGATGCACCCACTGCCTAGATATATTATTGGGGGAAGACAATACTGAACAAGCACTGACATGCAAACTCACATTGAAGTCACTTTCTTTCTCCAGTCATTTCTATCTTAGATTTCTTGGTCAGACCTTTATAAAATCAATTCACTGAATTATAATGGAAGCAAAGGAAGCAATTCTAAAGTTTGTAATTTTCCTTTAAAACATGCATGCTTCACTGCCATGTGTGTTCCTACGCAACTGTCTTGCATGCTCTGCTCATGTACCCCAAAACCTAAAATCCAATAAAAACTTAAAAAAAAAAAACATGCATGCTTATATTTTAAAACAGTCCTTGGTGGCACAAGAATATTAACATTTAAATTCACCAGTTTATCAACACCCTATAAATCTAGGTATCCCTCAGAGGATCCTGCAATCCCTTGAAGGAACTCTGTCTTCTTTACTGCATCCTCAGTGGGTCTTTTCTTCCTTGGCTGCTGGTCTCAAGAGCATGTAGCTGGTCTTTCAGCCCCCGGAATACTCTTCCTCTCTTCTCTTCATTTTTGTGTATCCTAAGCAGTCACTTCAAAGCTGTTCCTTAAGACTGCTTAGTGCAGTAAGTCTCCTCTAACTTAAGCCTGGGTAACAGCTGAGAACAAGACAGGCAGCAAAGCCAGAGGGTCCTATGAGAGAGGCCAGTCTTGTTGCTTTTTTCACTGGCCTTCATTAATTTTTATATCCTAGGACTTGAGTTTGTCCTCCTGACTGTGTGTGCTTCGTGAATCCTGAGCAGTAAATCATGCAACTGATATGAGCCTCTCTGAGTCTGCGCGTGGTACCAGTTCTATCAGCAAGAGCAGCATATGAAGTCAAAACCTCCATCCTCTAAGACACTAAAATGAAATCCTCCCCAGCCAGGGCTCCATTCTATGACACATGTCCATACACGTGTACAGTCTGCAACTGTCCACAGAACCACACTCATGATGGGACAAAAGATGGACCTCAAAGGGAGACCTTTGAGTAAGGATGCCAGCTTTCCTTTTTGTGTTCCTTGGTTCCTTCAGCAACAAAGATTAGTCTTGGCATCACTGCCTGCTCGGTGACCAGAACAAAGGGAAATAAGGAAAATCAAGGACACAGGAAAAAATATAAGTACACATAGATGTGGAAACTCAGAGTTCATAGAGACTTAAAGAGATACATGGAGAGTGAATATTTTGTCACCTTATAGAGCTTTATCCATCATCCATCCACCCAAGCAATGCTGAGCTGAGTGCTTGTGTATCAGGCATTGTGCTTGGCCTTGAGGATAAAGATAGAAGTAAAAGTCTAAAAGCAGACATTGGAGGTGGGCAGAGCAGTTGACGTGGCCCTAAAAGAGGTCCCACCATGGCGAAACACACAGACAGGGGACGTGGGGGAATTCGTGGCGCCAATCTCCTGCTGCCCCAGCGCAGGTGAAGGTAAAGGAGACACCTGCGCATCATAGAGACGCGGAGACCTCCAGGATTCCTAGAGAGGCCCGGAAGTGTCTCCAAGAGGCCGGTCCGACGGCTCCGGCGCCCGAGCGGGGGCGGTGGGCAGCTGGGGAGGCCTGGGCCGCCCTGTCTCCGGTAGTCGGCTTGTCCCGCCTTTCTTCCTACCGCTGTGAGTGGGCCTTGACTGGGCCTGGGGTTAGGGGAGTCGCTGCCCTTCCACGAGGTCCCTGGGCCTCAGGTCTCGGACTGGATCGCGGCTGGTGGCGGTCTCAGGGATGGGGGACGGTGGTGAGGACTGAGCAGGGTGGCGGGAAGGAGCATCCCTGATCCAAGCGGGCCGGGCGCAACTTGGCTTTCTAGAATGTTGCCAAGGCGCCAAACCCTGGCTCTCCTCTTTTTTGGGGGGGGGGCGGACATGAGGCCTCAAGCTCAGAGCTTTCTGCAGGTGTCTGTCTATACTTGATTCCTGTTTTTTGTTTTCTGCACACTTTGTGGAAACGACTACCTCCTCTTTATGACGTGGTTCAGGTTTCCCGCTTAAAGTGGCAATGAGAGGGTCCCATTTAAACTGCATGTAGTTGTTGGGAAAAGGTAAGCACGTTTAAACAAAACCTAATAGACTAGTCATAGTACCAGATGAACTAGATGTGATAGAAATTATGAAGGTGGAGTGAACTCTGAAAATCTGAGACAGGTTTATTTAGAAAGTTTACTTTGCCAGGGTTGAGGACATGTGCCCGTGACACAGCCTCACGTGGTCCTACTGACATGTGCCCAAGGTGGTCAGAGCACAGTTTGGTTTTATACATTTTAGGGAGACGTGAGACATCAGCTGACATAAGGTGAACATTTTTTTCAGTCTGGAAAGGCAGGACAACCTGAAGCGGGGAGGGAGCTTCCAGGTCATAGATGGATAAGAGACAAATGGTTGCATTCTTTTGAGTTTGATTAGCCTCTCCAAAGGAAGCAATCAGATATGCATTTATTTCGTTGAGCAGAGATATGTGAATAGAATGGCAGGCAGGGTTGAAAAGACCGGTAGGCAGGTTTGCCCTAAGCAGTTCTCAGCTTGACTTTTCGCTTTAGATCTTGGGGTGCCAAGATTTATTTTCCTTTCACAGTGGTAAGAGAATGACGTAAGTGAACCTGCGTTGTCCCATCCTTAGTGTGCAGCATTACATATGGTGGTTAAGAGTCATACAGACCCGGGTTCAAGCCCTGGATCCTGCTCAGCCACTTATGACCTGCATAATTTGTGGGTAAAGTTCTTAAACTTTGATTTATTTTCCTCATTTCTGAAAGCTGATGATAATAGTAGTAACTATCTCAGAAGATTGTCCTGAGGCTTAAATGCTAAACCTTTAAACTGCCTGTATTAATCCGTTCTCATGCTGCTAATAAAGACATACCCGAGACTGGGTAATTTATGAAGTAAAAAGGTTTAAAGGACTTACAGTTCCATATGGCTGGGGAAGCCCCATAATTATGGCGGAAGGCAAAGGAGGAGCGAAGTTACATCTTACATCTTATGTGGTGGCAGACGAGAGCTTGTGTAGGGGAACTCCGCTTTATAAACCATCAGATCTTGTGAGACTTACTCATTATCATGAGAACAGCGTGGGGAAAAAATCCAACCCCATGATTCAGTTACGTCTGATCGGGCCCCTCCCAGGACACGTGGGACTTATGAGAGCTACAATTCAAGGTGAGATTTGGGTGGAGACACAGCCAAACTGTATCATTCTGCCCCTGGCCCCTCCCAAATCTCATGTCCTCCCATTTCAAAACCAATCATACCTTCCCAACAGTCTCCCAAAGTCTTAAGTCATTTCAGAATTAACTCAAAAGTCCACAGTCCAAAGTCTCATCTGAGACAAGGCAAGTCCCTTGCACCTATGACCCTATAAAATCAAAAGCAAGTTAGTTACTTCCTAGAGTGGGGGTACAGGTATTGGGTAAATATACCCATTCCAAATGGGAGAAATTGTCCACAACAAAGGGGCTACAGGCTCCATCCAAGTCTAAAATCCAGCGGGGCAGTCAAATCTTGAAGCTCCAAAATGATCTTTGACTCCCTGTCTCACATTCAGGTCACATTGATGCAAGAGGTAGGTTCTCATAGTCTTGGGCAGTCCCATCCCTGTGATTTTGCAGGGTACAGCCCCACTTCTGGCTGCTTTCACAGGCTGGTGTTGAGTGTCTGATGCTTTTCTAGGAGCACAATGCAAGCTGCTGGTGGATCTCCCATTCTGGGGTCTGGAGGATGGTAGTTCTCTTCTCATAGCTCCACTAGGCAGTGTCCCAGTGGGGACTCTTTTGGCATGACTCCAACCCCACATTTGCCTTCCGCACTGCCCTAGCAGTGGTTCTCCATGAAGGCCCCACCCTTGCAGCAAACTTCTGCTTAGACATCCAGGAGTTTCCATACATCCTTCATATCTAGGTAGAGGTTCCCAAACCTCAATTCTTGACTTCAGTGCACCCACAGGCTCAGCACCACATGGAAGTTGCCAAGGCTTGGGGCTTGCACCCTCTGAAGCCACAGCCTGAGCTGTAGCTTGGTCTGTTGTAGCCACAGCTGAAGCAGCCAGGACACAGAGCACCAAGTCCCTAGGGTGCACAGAGCAGGGGGGCTCTGGACCCTAGGGACCAGGAAACCATTTTTGCCTCCTAGGCGTCTGGGCCTGTGATGGGAGGGGCGGCCGTGAAGGTCTCTGACAAGTCCTGGAGACATTTTCCCCATTGTCTTGGTAATTAGCATTTGGCTCCTCTTTACTTATGCAAATTTCTGCAGCCAGCATAAGTTTTTCCCCAGAAAATTGGTTTTTCTTTTCTGTTTCATCATTAGGCTGCAAATTTTCCAAACTTTTTTGCTTTGCTTCCTCTTGAATACTTAGCAGCTTAGAAATTTCTTACCCCAGATACCCTAAATCATCTCTCTGAAGTTGAAAGTTACATGGATCTCTAGGGCAAGGGCAAAATGCCACCAGTTTCTTTGCTAAAACGTAGCAAGAGTCACTTTTACTCCAGTTCCCAACAAGTTCCTCATCTCCATCTGAGACCGCCTCAGCCTGGGCTTTATTGTCCATACCACTATCAGCATTTTGGTCAAAGCCATTCAACAAGTCTCTAGGAAGTTCCAGACTTTCCCACATCTTCCTATCGTTTTCTGAACCCTCCAAACTGTTCCAACCTTTGCCTGTTACCCAGTTCCAAAATCACTTCCACATTTTCAGGTATCTTTACAGTAGCACCCCGTTACCCAGTACCCAGTACCCCGGTACCCAGTACCAATTTACTGTATTAGTCCATTGTCATGCTGCTAATAAAGACATACCCAAGACTGGGTAATTTATAAAGGAAAGAGGTTTAGTGGACTCACAGTTCCACATGACTGGGGAGGCCTCATAATCATGGCAGAAGGCAAAGGAGGAGCAAAGTCACAGCTTACATGGCAGCAGGCAACAAAGTTTGTGTAGGGGAACATTCCTTTATAAAACCATCAGATCTTGTGAGACTATCATGAGAACAGCATGGGAAAGACCCACCCCCATGATTCAGTTACCTCCCACCAGGTCCCTCCAAGGACATGTGGGACTCATGGGAGCTACAATTCTTTTTCTTTTTTTTTAAGATGGGGTTTCCACCGTGATGGCTAGGCTGGTCTTGAACTGCTGACCTCAGGTGATCCACCTGCCTCGGACTCCCAAAGTGCTAGGATTACAGGCTTGAGCCACCGAGCCCAGCCCAGGAGCTACAATTCAAAAGGAGACTTGGGTGGAGACATAACCAGACCATATCACTGCCTAAACCATAATAAATAATAAGCATAGCCAGGGTTGTTGCTGTTTTTATTTTAGGGAGGAGGAAACATGATAAGAGAGATTCAGTGAATTGCCCAGGGTCACACAGAGAATTGGAAGAGCCAAGTCTAATGCCCAGATTTCCAACCTGGGAGTCTTAACCATTCATCACTGCTACCTCTGCCACATGGCAGAATATGGGGCACCTCCATTTGTTTTCACTAGGAATTGCAGGGGCCCCAGTGAGGTTGCAGAATGTGTTAACAGTGAAAGCCCTCGCAGGACTCAGGTCAGTACCCAGCGCTTCACACCAGGGGCTCTGCACAGCCACAAGTGCTACTGCAGTTAAGATGAGCTGTACAGTCAGATGCACCTGGGTTATTGGTACAGATCCCTGCTCTACCATTTGCTAGCTATAGGACTTGGAGTTAGGCACTTTTTTGTCTCTGAGCCTCCGTATTCTCATCTGTAAACTTGGATCAACAAATGAGTACTCACCTCAGAGGGCTATTTTGAGCATCAAGTGAAATAATCCATGGACAGAGTATTACACAATGCCTGGCACAGAGTAAGTGCTTAATAAGTGGGAGTTGATATTACTTCAATTTGTAGAAGTGGCAGTTTGCTGACCTAGTGAAGAAGAAAGTGCAAGTGTAGTACTCCTTGCAGATAGGACAGAAAGAGGCATTCGAAGAGCTTGCAAAATGTTCACCCCATTTAGATGTACTGGGTGTACAATCTGCTAGATATTCCTTGTCCCTAGAGTTATTGCCAGTCTGTGTTCACATGACATTTATACAGTACCTTGGGAAACAGATGGTAAATAGCAATTATACAATTATTTCATTTATTTTGTCATGAGCATTGTGAGGAATTGCAAGGCTCTTGTGCAACAAACATCTAGGTAGAAGTGTAGGTAGCTGAACAAGATTTGAAACAGCTCAGGTGATGATGCTGAATTACAGACAGCTGTCCTGATACCTAGTTGTATTCAAAACTCTGTATAAATACCCATATCTATTATAAGTGTACTGGTTTTTACTCTACGCCCTTAAGTAGTTTTCTTCCCAAGTGTGTTTGGCCTTTTGGAGGTTTTGTTTTTGTTTTTGTTTTTGTTTTAAAGAGGAATGTCACTCTGTCTTCCAGGCTGAAAGGTAGTGGCACAGTCTCCACTCACTGCAACCTCCATCTCCCAGGTTCAAGCAGTTCTCCTGCCTCACCTTCGTAGTAGCTGAGATTACAGGTGTGTGCCATGACATCCTGCTAATTTTTTGTGTTTTCAGTAGAGACGGGGTTTCACCATTTTGGCCAGGCTGATCTCGAACTCCCAACCTCAAGTGATCTGCCCACCTTGGCCTTCCAAAATGCTGGAATTACAGGTGTGAGCCACTGCACCCCTACCCCCACCCTCTTACGGATTTCATATACCACCTCTCTTTCAACTGTATCAGGCTTCTCCTTATCAGCTCTACATATTTACCTTTATTGTTCTGACTGCCTTATATTAAACACAAGTAGATAATTTTCAGATCATGTATGAAATTTGAACAGCACCATTTCAAGAGCCTCTAGCATCAATATATTTGCCAGATCTCAGTATAATAAGAATTCAGTTACCTTTTACCTCTGGTCAGCACTTATACAGTGATTTAAAACACCTAATCTCAGGGTTATACTACTTGGAGATATTTTTATTTCTCTTAAAGTAAATATCACAATTTTTTATTTTTATGGGGACAGTCTTAATTCTCTCTGTGCCATACTTTCTGTTGGCGAAATGCTAATGACACCCCATTTCTATATTGCATTATAATACCAGAGGGTTAGTAACACAATCAACTTGAATTCATAGGGATGAAGGAACTGTGTGCATAATCTAAGGTTCTTATTTCTGATCCTTAGCATTTAATTAGGTCTTTTAAAATGTCAAGCACTCCCAGTCATCTTTTATTAGTTTCTTCACATAACTTACCTTGAGATGTCAATTTTATTACCCTTACTTTACCTTAGTATTCTCTAGAGGTTAGATGAATTTTTTTTTTAATTTACATTTTTTTTCCTGTTTGTAATTAAGCTTTTTTTTTTTTTCCTTGATCATGTGCTTAACTTTAACCTGTATCCATCAAAATGACTGCTTAGGTCAGATGTGGCCGTCCCAACCAGGGGAGAGCAATTACTGAACAAAGCCAGGTTTTGGAAGAGCCTTCAAGCAGTTGCCTTTGTAAAAGCAGGTCTGAGTGCCCAGCCCTAGGAGGAGTCAGATGGAAACTAATTAATAAAACAGAAGCCACAGAGTAGATGAAAATCGGGCAGCTGGCTGAAGAACAACTGTATATTTTCTTTTCTCCCTACTGGCTTAGCATTCTTGAGAATTTTGGGTGTGGGGGTGGTGGTTTCTGCAAAATGTGTTTGCTGAGATTTTTTCCGTGCTTATCCATCTTGGGGATCAGGAAGGGAGGAGGCGGCTCCCCAGCAGTGCAGCGGATGGCTGCCATCCTGTGAAGGTTTTACTGGCCTGGTGGATAAGATTTTTCCTTGCTGTTTATCATGTTAAATTATTGAGTTGTCCTTACGTTTCTCTCCTGAGCCTCCTGATCAGGTCAGTCGTACAGGTTTTTGCCTCAGATTATTCTGAAGCTGGTTGGAAAGTACTGGGGTAGCATCAGTAGGCCTGGCAGATTTCCGAAGCATTAATAATCCGAAGCTGTGTGTTCCTCACTTGATGAATGTGCACTTGAACCATGATTGACCTGTGATCTTGTGACTGGACTGGAATGCATCATTTTAAAACCAGACACTAATTAGAGATAGGAGGTGTTTCATTGGAATTTTTTAATTGGGCTTTTGAAGGCCTGTACATTTCCAGGATTCCTTATGGTGGAATTCTTACAGAAATAATAAGAATATCATAAATTGTTACCTGGCATCCTGTTTATCAAAACTTTCAACCAGACAAGAACATTTCCAAAGCCTGGCGTTTTGGTTAATGGCATCGCCCTCCTCAGAACTTCATCTGGGTGCCGCGCACTGCCGCCTCCTGCAGTTGTTCACCTGCCCTCACCCTCATTTCACCTGAGCACACTGGCCTTCTGTCCTCACTGGTAACTCTCTAGTCTAGGGCCTCATCTCTCTTCCCTAGACCCTGGCCCATTTCCTCCTCCAGGGGAAGCCTCCTCTTTCACAAGTTCCTTGCTCTAATCCTACAGAGGCTGTTGTTGTCTGTGGAGTGGAATTCAGTTAGCCATGCGTGATGGTGCATGCCTGTAGTCCCAGCTACTCAGGATGCTGAGGTAGGAGGATCTCTTGAGGCCGGGAAATCCAGGCTGCAATGAGCCATGGTCACACCTCTGCACTCCCGCGTGGGTACCAGAGTGAGACCTTGTCTCAGAAATAAATAAAGAAATAAAAGAATGGGATTCAAACTCCTTGGAAGGGAACAGAAGCCTGTCTCCAGGCTCACCCCGGGCTATCTTTTCACCCTCAAGCACCAGCTCCACGTGAGTTTGCATACCAGCCATGGAGGACTCACCGAGTTAGCTGCCCAGCACAGCCTTTCCTGCCTCTGTTCCATTTATTCGAGGTGCATCCTCACCTGTGATAACCCTCCTCTCGGCCTACCTAGATCTTCCCATGGTCCCTGTAGCTCTAAAGCTCACTCTGCCATGAACTCTTCCTGATTTGCCCTGTTAGAACCAGCCTCTGCCCCCTCACCTTGGTGTTCCCCCAGCACTTTGTTTATACCAACATTAAAACAGTCATCTTATTTTCACCCTCTTGCCTTTTCCTGTTGTATCTGCAGAAGCCTCTTTCTCATGTGTAAGCTCTGGAATGCAGGGCCTCTATCTCATTTGGGTTTGCATCTTCCATTCCATAACCCAGCACTTTTTAGGAGATCTGCTGTTGTTAAAATTACAGCACAATATCATGCAGAACAGCGACTCTTAGACACTGCAGGGCCCTGGGCAATTTCTGCCCATCAGACTTTTGCTTAATTGGATATATTTTCGGGTACTCTGAATAATCTGTAGATTCAAATGTTTATTGAGCATCTACTATGTTCTGGATTGTAGTAGGGACACCCCAGAAGGCAGAAGACCTCAGTTCTCATAGAACTTAACATTCTATGGGAAAGAGGTCAATAAAAAAAAAATAGTTGTAGATAAATAGTGAAATGTACCATGAAGAAGACAAAGCAACAATCTGGGGACAGGCAGCTCTGTTAGCTGGGGTGATCACAGAAGCCTCTCTGAGGACATGTGAGCAGACCTAAATATTGAGAAACATGCAGTCTAAAAAGACCTCAGCATCATGCGTCACACTGAAGTGAACAGGAGGCACTAATGAGCTCCACATCTTCAAGCAAAGAAAGGAAAATCTGTCTGGTTGGAGTATAGAGTTTCAGTAGCAGAAGAGTGGGAGGCTGTGACCAGGTCATGGAGGTGAACGTGGGAACTCTGTATTGAAATATCAGTATCTGATGTCTACTGTGTTGGGAAACAGGGTTCGTCATAAAATGTTGTGATTACACTAAATAATAGAAGTGATGGCATTTGGTGTTGTGAGTACTCTAAATCTAAATGGGAGTGTTCTGCACTCAGAAAACAATAGAATCACAAGGTCGCTGTTAGGTACATTGAGGGAGTGCTGGCATGTTCATTCTTCCTGAATTTTCTTGAAAGCATAACCATGGCAGTTGCTTACCGGAACCTTGGGAACTCATCAGCTGTCCTCTGCACCATTTTTGCTCAGTTTCCCTGATATTTCTCCTTCTTCTCCACACCCTCAAGCCACTGAGACAGTCACTTGCTGAACCTTGTCTTCACTTGTCACATTGGCTTATTCTGCATGAGTGATCTGATTCGCTTCCTTGGCAGTCTGATAAACTCACACAGGTATTCATACCTTACAAAACTCTTTGTAACCTTGTGCTTTCGAGAGATCTAATTATGATATGTGGAAATGTGATAAAATAGTTGAATCCCTAAACTCTAGAGTGTGGAAAAAGGCAGCCTGAGGAATGATATTTGTGGAGTGCCCATATGGTGTTTTGTTGGACATTTTATGCAAGCTTATTATCAGCTCCACTTTTTAGATGAAGCAACAGGTTCAGAGAGTTTAACACGTGGTAAACACACAGTCCAAAATCACACAACTGGTAAGTGGACTCCAAAGTCCATTCTCTTTCCATTTAAAACTGTGTTTTAGTGGTTAAGAGTGCAGACTCCTGGAGCCAAACTGCCATTGGGTGTGAATCCAGGTAAGCTTGGGCAAGTTACTTACTGTCTCTGTGGTTTATTTTTCTCAGGTGAAAACCAGGATACCAATAGTACTTTCCTGGTAAGATTATTAAAAGGATGAAATGGCTAACATATACATAAAGCACTTAGCATACTGCCTGGCCCTAGTAGTAAGCACTAGGTATGCGTTTGTCATTATTTCCACTGTACCAGGCTGCCTTTTTTAGAAACCTTAGCATTCCTGTAACATAACACAACACAACCAGATGGAAAAGTGAAATCTAGAGACGTTAAGTGTCTTGGCCAAAATCACATAACCATTTAAGGGCGGAGGCAAAACATCTTCACTGTGTATTCCTGTCCCCCATGTTTTTTCTTGCCTGTGTGTGTACACTGACTTCACACTCACAGCCTCTCTGCCATGCAAGCTCTTCATCCTGCATGGCCCAACCTCTGCTGCCCCCGCTTCCACCCATCTCCATGCTGTTCCATGTTGAAGTCCCCTTACATGGTGCGGTGGCTGCAGTCATGGGTACCCGGCTGAGAGAGACAAATGGTAGGGCTCTTGGTTACTTGCAGTCTTCATGCCTAACCACAGCTCTGAGCATCTCCACTGATGCGCGCACGTGTGTGTGTGTGTGTGTGTGTGTGTGTGTGTCCAGTGCCTTTGAGGATCTGTGTGCCTCCTGTTCCATTTCTTTCCCCCTTACATGGAGGGAGTTGAGTGGCTTACCTATTGCTTATTTTGTTTTGTTTTTGAGACAAGGGGGTCTGGGAGCCTTGAAAGGAATGCAGGGAGAGCCACAGAAGAAGAGAGAGAGAAAGTGGGACCCCAAAGGCACTGAGCACTTGTACTTTAAGCACTTGCAAGATTTGTAGTCGGGGAGGTGGGGCATGGTTTGCTACATAAAGGAGATTTTCCCCATATTTTTTTTAAGTACAGGATTAATAAAACAGTATTAAACCATGCTTCAGTGTGCTATTTTAAAGGAAAGATGCTGGGAGCTTCCTTTAGAGTTCTAATTTTCTGATGCATAGGGGGAAATGCCTCTTCTTACCAAATTTGAATCAAGTATTTTCAAAAAGGCTCTAATCATTTTCAAAAATTAACAATAATGCCTTACATTTGAATCTTTTTTTGTGGTTCTCAAAGCACTTCCAAGTACATTCTCTTATTTAACCTTCACATTAACCTTTTCGGGTGGGCAGAGCAAATATTCCTGTCCCCATGTTACACAGGGAGAAATCTGAAGCCTAGGAACTGAAGGGAAGGTAGCTAACGTGACACAGCTGTGACTAGACCCAGGCCTGACCTTTTCATCCTTCTACAGTATACTGACTTTTTGTTTTTGTTAGCTCAAAATTAGGGAGATTCACATTTGCATTTCCATCAGTAACAGTGATGCACGCGTCTTTCTTTCTTATAGGTCCAGTTATCTTTTGACTGCCACATATGGACCCCAAAAGATCTCCAAAGGAAACTGTCCTCATTACAGGAGGAGGTGGCTATTTTGGTTTTCGGTAAGTGTGTCTATAAAATATACTCATGGAATTATTTTACTGGTAGTTTCCAGAAGCTTTCAACTCTGACATCAGAGTAGACTTTTCCTTATTTGTATAATGGCAAACCAGAAATGAACTGAGTAGCCCACTGCTCAGATGCTGCAGTTGAGAAGTAGAGGTATATTTCACTTCAATAAAAATTCTTTATGAAGCCATTCAATTGGGAGAGGTGACTACTGACATCACCAAAACCAATTTTAAATCATAGCTAGTCTTTCACAGTTATGTTATTCACAAATATTCCAGAGAATAGATAGTGGGCCCTAGAACCGAGAGGGGAAAGATGCCACTGTTCTTTGAAGATAAAGCCTCTCTCTTTGTAATTTAAGTAAATGAGAGGATTTTCATTTTTGAAAATTTGAAGAAGTGAGCCTTGGACCAAGGAACACACACAGTGAGGGACTCAGGATGAGCCAAGAAGACTTGGATCAGCCCCTCCTTGATTTGTAAATTGCTTTATACCCTTCTCCCAGGCACAGCCTAAGAGTGACTTGTTTCAACGTTTACTGTTTCTCATTCCAGCCTGGGCTGTGCTCTGAACCAAAAGGGAGTCCATGTGATTCTGTTTGACATCAACAGCCCTGCTCAAACCGTTCCAGAAGGAATCAAGTTTATACAAGGAGACATCCGCCATGTGTCTGATGTAGAGAAAGCCTTCCAGGATGCAGACGTCACTTGTGTGTTCCATATTGCCTCTTATGGTATGTCAGGGCGGGAGCAACTCAGTCGAAACCCAATCGAAGAAGTCAACATCGGGGGCACAGATAACATCCTCCAGGCTTGCCAAAGGAGAATGGTGCCCAGGTTAGTTTACACCAGCACTTTCAATGTCATCTTCGGAGGTCAAGTTATCAGAAATGGGGATGAATCTCTGCCCTACCTGCCTCTTCACCTCCACCCTGATCACTACTCTCGGACCAAATCTATTGCAGAGAAGAAGGTGCTGGAGGCAAATGGTACACCCCTGAACGGAGGTGGTGATGTCTTAAGAACCTGTGCTCTGAGGCCAGCTGGCATCTATGGGCCTGGAGAACAAAGACACCTTCCCAGAATAGTCAGCTACATCGAGAAGGGTCTGTTCAAGTTTGTCTACGGGGACCCTGGGAGTCTGGTTGAGTTTGTCCACGTGGATAACTTGGTGCAGGCTCACATTCTGGCCTTGGAAGCCCTGAGAGCTGACAAGGGCCATATTGCCTCTGGACAGTCCTACTTCATCTCAGATGGCAGACCCGTGAACAACTTTGAGTTCTTCCGGCCTCTGGTTGAGGGCCTGGGCTACACGTTCCCATCTACCCGCCTGCCATTGACCTTGGTCTACTGCTTTGCTTTTCTAACAGAGATGGTCCACTTCATTCTGGGTCGACTCTACAACTTCCAGCCCTTCCTCACTCGCACTGAAGTTTACAAAACTGGTGTGACACATTATTTTAGCTTAGAGAAAGCCAAGAAAGAGCTAGGTTATAAGGCTCAGCCATTTGACCTCCAGGAAGTCGTGGAGTGGTTTAAAGCCCATGGTCATGGCAGAAGTTCTGGAAGTCGTGACTCGGACTGTTTTGTTTGGGATGGGCTGTTGGTCTTCCTCCTGATTATAGCAACTCTCACTTGGCTGCTTTCTGTGATTCTGTTGCTTTGAAGGAGGGGTCAGACATAAGCTGATCACAATTGGCTGAGGTGGTTCTCAAGAAACATGGGTTTTAAAATGTGTACAGTGATATCTGGTGCCAAACATTGGCTCTTCAAATTGCCACTTAAGAACAGGTTCTTGGATTGAATCTTTATGGCTTACTTCCTTGCACTAATCCAGATGGGAATGAAAAAAAAGAAGGAAAGATTAGTTTGAAATTTGATTTCTTATGTCCTTCTGTTTTAGATGGGTACAAGAGAGGTCAGTTGGGAGCCATAGAAGTTGGGTTAGAAGAGTTTGTCTTGAATTTCTCAGAGCAAGATGTGCTTATTTCCATTTTATGCACTCTGCATCTACCTAAACCTCTGAGTGATGTGGGAATGGCACACTGCTTCCAAGTGTGTGAAAAACACCAAATTGGCCCAGATCCCTAGCAGAGCAGTCCTCCAAGGGGATGGTGGCTGTTGCTGGGGAGCATCCGCTATTCACAGTGTAAGTTTTAGGTGTTAACACTTGCCCTTGGTGATATCAGGGCATTATGCCTTTGTGAACACATGGTAATGTTTCCTGTTTGGGCCTTTATCCTACCTCATGGGATTCTTTTGAGGATTAATTAGACAAAGCATACAAAGTGCTCCTCAACACACAAAGCCATTCCTTTTATCAGAATTGTGATGTTCTCTTTAGAGGGCTGTTGCTGCTGGACTTTCTGGAATGTCTTTAGGTGTGCCCTCAGAGCCTGCAACAAGTATTTTTGGACATACTCTATTTGTAAAGTTTTGGCCTCTGCGAAGGCCAAAAGGAAGCAGCTGAAAATCTGATGATTAAAGGAGGCAATCATGCTGATGCCATTTTCAATTTAAAAATGAAGCATAACTCTAAACTCATAGATGGGTTTTCTTACTGGGAAGAAGTTTGGCTCACTGAAGACAGCTTCCAGTGAGGAAAGTATTGAACAATGGCAGCACTGTCTGGCCACCCCGAACTGTTACAGACATTCCAGTTACACTGTTGCATAGAGACCCAAGTGGAAAGACAGAGTCCATCTCCCTCCAGGGCTCCAGCTACAGGAAGGATAGTAAGGAAGCATTACAAGGGGGACACACATTGCCGTGGAAAGTTCTGCTAGAGAGTGTCTGTAAAATACAAATAGAATGTGCAATCCCTGTTGAATGCTGCCTGGATGTTTTCAGAAAAGCTCTGAACTTGATGTCAGGAGACCTACACCGTGAATATCATGTGTGGCCTTACCAAGGAACAGAAGCCCCTTTGAACTCAGCCTCCTCACTTGGGAGCTGGGACCGACTGGATTTGCCCTTTCTATAGACCCACCCACCTCATAGGGTTCACTGGGAGCATAAAGCAAGATGTGGTTTAATATAAATTGCAACATCGATATGAGTTGATGGTGATTGTTTTTAGGAAAATGTTGGGAGTCTTTTCTGTCATAAAGAAGCTTTTGCATTAGCCTGAGGTTAACGCATATGAGCACCTGCAGCGTATCGCTCTAGATCTGCTTGTATCCTCATATGGCAAGCAATTCTCCCAGAGCAGGTCATCCAAGACAGCAGGGTGAAAGCTGCATTTTCCTTTATGACTTGGCCTCAAATGTCACAGTGTCATTCCACAGCATATTGGTTATGGAGGTCAATCCTATTCACTAGGTGGGGGGGGGTGTGTGAAAATACACAAAAATGTGACTACCAGAAGATGGAGACGGTCATAGGCAATCTTGGAGGCTGAGCTCTTGGCCCCACATGAGTTATCCTTCCCTTTCCATGAAAGGTAGCCGACATTTCCAGCCACGTAGCTTTCTCTGCCTGCTTCCTGCCAGAAGGATTTTAGGGGTCCAACAGCTGTGTTAACATTTTGCACTATATCCCTTTCCATTCTAGCAATTGTTACCATGAACATTATTTTGAATTTGTCACCTGAGTCTTATTGAAGTTCACACACTAAAATCACACCCACAAATCTCCCAGAAGTCCTGGCAGAAGCCACCCAGCACTGCTACCTCATCCATGGCTTCTGAGAACTGTGGGAGGTTATTCATATGCTTGATGGAGGGTCACAATGGAGGAAGCATGTGTGAGCAACAAGGGGCCCTGTACTGGAACCCAAAGATCATGGCCAAACTGCTCCTAGCTGCAAAAAGGAAGAGGGGTCTGGAAGGCCCGTTGGAAATACTTGTTGGAGTCCTTAGTGCTGTTTGTGTTTCTTACCGCTATACTCCTAATGCCTAGCATAGTGCAGGAGTTCAGTGAGTCCACCTTGAGCCTCTGCTCAGACTCCCAAGGAACAATGTGCTTGTTAGAAGCCCTATTATCTGAAGAGCTCTCTGGGGTGCCACATCAGGCCTTTCTGAGATCTTAAAAAGATTTTATACTCACAGCCTCAGGCTTGCACTTTCATTTCCACAGTCTCATGTTTTCATGCAGGTTAGCCTCATTCAGTTTGGAAGGAGACTACACAAGGACATGGATACCAGGAGGTGGTGTCACTGGAGGCCAACATGGAACCTGGCTACCACATTCCTGCTTCCATATCTCCCCAGTTCTGTAACTATCTCCCATTCCATCTTGAAATGGCAGATTTTCTCAGTGCTCAGTCGTCGGCCCAGTTCTAATACCATACTTTCTCCCTTGGTGAGCTCATCTAAGCCCATGGCCTCCATTTCTGTCTCTAACCCAAATAGATACTACTAGCTTTACAGTTCAGACCACTCTTGGGCTCCAGACTCATATATAAGTACTTCTGCAACTCCTCGTGGATGTCTTCCATGCACCTGTCAGCCAATGTAGCCAAAGGGGAATTCATAGTCCTCCCACCCCAAATTTTTACAGGGCTCCTTTCCTTAGTAAATATTTTCACGACCCACTGAATTTCCCATCCCAGAGATCTGGGATCATTCTTGACCCCTGCCTCTCCTAAACTTGACACTCTTAACTCACGTTTAAGCCAGTTGATATTTACTTAAAATCATGCCTTAAAACTGCCCAAGGTATAGGTGTATCTTCTCTCCCATAGATTCCAATAGCAGCCCATTTGCTCTTCCACCCACATCCACACCTGCCTTCCTTCAGTCCGTTCTCCACATGCCTAGCAGAGGAAGTCTATAAAGGTGCATATCTTTTGTTGCTTCTCTCCTGAAAACTTTACTTACATTGAGAATCTTTAACATGACCAACACTTGTCTGCACTGGCCCCTTGCCTGTCTCTCTGCTATCATCTCACATTATTCTGCCTTCTCTGCCCCAATTACACCGACTTTCGTAGGTTCCTGGGCTCCAAGCTTCTCAAGCTCCCTGCTCTTCCTTTTGGCCTGAATAATGTTTATTTCATGCCTCTTTTTAAGTCTTCTAGAAGCCTTCCGTGATCCCAGCAATTTAGGTTTGGTCTGCCTGCCCCAAGCTCTCATAGCTTCCTGTCTTTCTTTCATAGCATTGCTCATAACCATAAACACTTGTACAATTATTTGTTTAATGCCTGTTAGCTCCACTAGGGTGAGAACTTTGTCTTTCTTACTGCTATACTCCTAATGCCAGCACAGTGCAGTTCAATGCGTATTTGTCCAATGAATGCTATTTTCCCTTCTGCTGTGGATGAACAGTCTCTTCTAGCACACAGATAATTCACTGTTTCTAATCTTTTGGAGACAGGGGAAGATAGCCAGCCTACACTAGAATTGTGTTAACTAAGTCAGTGCTAGATGAGGTCTAGTAAGTAAGTGAAGTTATTGCCTATATGATCTCGTGGAGTAGTAATGCCATAAGATGGTCAGGGAACAGGGAGGGAATGTGGGCCAAGTGATTTGTGCTCCCTCCACATGTCAGCTAAAAACTCACCACTTTAAAGGACTTAGTCTGTTCCCTGAGAAGGAGCTCCCCTTCCCTCCTGTGGTCAGAAAATGTGGCAGTTAAGAAATTCCATTAGTTCTAGGGTTCCCAGCTGCCCTCACCTTGCCTCAACCTTAGATTGAATCACTCAACCCTACCTAATGCAATAAAATTATGCTCACACCTGTGCACTTGGGGATGCTCCCCGAGGTCCTGGCAGAAGCCACCCAGCACTGCTACCTCATCCATGGCTTCTGAGGTCTGTGGGAGGTTATTCACATGCTTGATGGAGGGTCGCAATGGAGGAAGCATGTGTGAGCAACAAGGGGCCCTGTACTGGAACCCAAAGATCATGGCCAAACTGCTCCTAGCTGCAAAAAGGAAGAGGGGCCTGGAAGGCCCGTTGGAAATACTTGTTGGAGTCCTTAGTGCCTTTTCTGGCGACAGAGGCAGAAAGTGCCATAGCATGAGTGGTAACAGTTACTGGAGGGTCAAACAGCTCATTCTGAGACCAAATTACCTATGCTATGGTATTTCTCAAGCCTAGGGAATAGGCCTAGTGGTTCAAGAAAATATCTTATTTTCCTCAACCACCTAACATGGTGTATAAAAGAGGCAAGCAGCCGGGCGCGGTGGCTCACGCCTATAATCCCAGCACTTTGGGAGGCTGAGGTGGGTGGATCAGGAGGTCAAGAGATCGAGACCATCCTGGTCAACAAGGTGAAACCCCGTCTCTACTAAAAATACCAAAAAAAAAAAAAAAAAAAAAATTAGCTGGGCATGGTGGTGCGTGCCTGTAATCCCAGCTACTCAGGGATTACAGAGGCAGGAGAATTGCTTGAACCCAGGAGGCAGAGGTTGAGGTGAGCCGAGATCGTGTCATTGCACTCCAGCCTGGGTAACAGCGAAACTCCGTCTCAAAAAAAAAAAAGAGGCAAGCATTACTTTGTCATAGATTGTTGGGGCTGCTTCCACCTTGTATGTCTTTCCAAATCTCCGGTTCATCTAGCCTTACAAAGACAGGGTAGATGTCGCCTGGAGAATGTCGCACCCCAGCTCTGACTCAATGATTTATCATTACAGAGCCACTGGTGCCCCTGCTGGCTGGCCTTGGAAGCCAGCACCAGCAACGTCATTAAAGTCTTCACTGTTCACCAGCATCTCTCGCTTTACAGAATTATACCCCATGCTCCGTTTTTGTTGTTGTTGTTGTTTTTGAGACAGAGTCTCCCTCTAACGCCAGGCTGAAGTGCAGTGGGACCCGATCGGCTCACTGCAACCTCCGCCTCTTGGCGGAGCATCCCCAAGTGCCCACCACATCCGGCTAATTTTCGTATTTTTAGTAGAGACAGGGTTTCACCATGTTGGCCAGGATGGTCTCAATCTCTTGACCTCGTGATCCACCCGCCTCAGCCTCCCAAAGTACTGGGATTACAGGCGTGAGCCACCTTGCCCCTTTTTGATGATAAAAAGCCCCTCCCCGCCCTTTCCTGGGGCCGGCCTCCACGTGCAGGCTTGACCACTCACAAGACTTCCATCCTTCCGACCACAGTCATTGGGCCAGGATGGGCCAGTCAGCATCCTCCTTTCAACCTTCCTCCCAGGGCAGGTTTACAGAAAGCCTTTCACTGGGGAGTTCATGCGCGTGGTGCTGCTCCTCTTCAGGTTCCTCCTGCCTGAAGAAGAGGATGAAGCACTGATGGTATTGAGGTGTGTTAAGTAAAGAGCCCAAAAAATGGAGAGGGAGGCGGTCCGGGAGACTACGCTGGTGTTCTGTAACGCTGCCTGCCGGAGGCTCATCGTTCCGGATCATCCTCTCACGTGAGTCTCAGTTCACTTTATTTTCTGCTTACTCCTTTAAGTTTGATTTTTCTCCAGGAATTGCAGTATGTCCTGGTGTGCCGTGTCCATAGTCCGCACCTGGGTACAGGGGATCCTACCCCGTGGTTTCCAAAGGCAACCCTCTCCACCTCTGTGTCCTCTTTCTTACAAGGTGGGGGGGGTCATCTTTTGGTCCTTGGGTAATTTAACATTTGCTGGAGTTCTTCTTAGAGAATCAGACTGATTTCCTTTTCTAGAATCATGTTTATTTGAATTATGTTTGTTCAAATCATGTATATTTGGACCCAACATATCTTTAAGCAGTGTAGTTCAAACTCTTGTTTTATGTGAAAACTGTTTGAAGGTGATTTGCTCCCCAGAACATAAACGCTCATGACAGCAGGAACCATGTCTGTTTTTTCTACTTCTATACCCTTCATTTGCCCATTAAATGCTTGCTGACTGGGTGAATGCACTTATTAATCAGGTGATCTCTTATCTGAGGTTACAGCTGATTCCCCAATTATTGCTTCCTTTACACCTGAGACTCCCTGCCTGCCCCAGTGAGAACATTAGAGGCCTAAATTAAAATTACAGACTCCAGAAGAGTGACATCATGTAAAATGGCAGAGTAGAAGCTCTAGACTTTGTCCTTTCACTGTAACAACCAGAAAAACGGGAGGCCAGGGAATGATCAGAACCAGTGATTTCAGGAACTCCTCACGTCTGTTTGACCT